GGCCAGGCTGGCACAATAAACTATTTCACCCTGAAAATCAGAAAAGCACAGCAGATCAAGCCAAGTCCTGTCACTTATCTTTGATAGTTGGTGTTGTCTCCTTTCCAACATGTGTATGCAGCAGTGAATTACTTCATAGATTTTTTTTTAGAAAATAAAAAAAGTTTGTAAGAAAGTCCCTTTACATATAACATCATGGTCAAAGACTATGCACAACAATTGCCCATTGTCACAGAAATATATTCAATCCAGTCGATGCTTTTTCTGCTAAAGTGGGTATATGAAATCTTCAGGGAGTCACAATGTGAGTAGAGTTCATCGTCATCAATTCAATAGGTGGCTCCTCTCCGTGCATTGTTGTTAGGTAGTGGCCACTGGGTTCTGACTCATAGTGACCCTACAGACAACAGAAATGAAACACTCCTTTATTGTCCTATGCTATACTCAAAATTGCTCTGACGTTTGAGCCTGTCTCAATATACCTTGTCAACGGTCTCCTTCTTTGTCACCACCCCGCTACTGAGTATGATGTTCTGAAGCATGATGACCTTCCATGCATTAGGGACTAGCTAAGCTAATGAGCCCTGCTTGAACTATTTGATGCAAGAGAGGAAGGGCACAGAGAGGTCTATTGATCAAGGTTGGGACAGAACTAGATTGTCATGGTTTCAGACAGTTCATAGACTCAGAATTTGTATTTACCTTCTACATAGTAAATGTCTGGAGGTTATAATTTTAGATAAGAGGAAATTGGGTAGGTAGGATAAGTAACAGAAGCATGTTTGAGAGGCTCTGTGTTACCCTGTTCCTGGAGGAGTGATATCAACTTGACTAACTTCTTTCTTTTGACCTACATCATTGTCCTCCCAGGAGGAGGTAAATTGTGAATCCAACTGATACTGCTCTGGAGTTTGCCAGTCAGATACAACTAAATGCTTTAAAGCTGAGTGTGTGTAGATTGTAAGCAAGCTGTGGCACAAGTCCCCTGTGATACTAGCTTTGCCCCCTAAAATGGAGAGCAGAATCAGGAACACCCCAAACCAAACCAAGCTCAAATAAGTGTGTGGGTCTATACGAGGCGCCTGTTCTCCTGGATGCCATGAACTGCCCCAGTAGTAATGGAGGGGGTACTGGGAAGACACATCCAGTTTTACACTCAAAAGTCAAGCCATAACCCCAGGAAACCCCTAGCAACTCCAGATCCCCTAGAATAGACAGCCCTCCCCACAACATATGTAGACTCATCTTATAGAACCCACAGTGTTCTGCTGGGGGTAGAGGTCATCATTTAGCTAACTTGATAGAGAATATTTCTAATACAAGGAGCCCTGATGGAATTTTCTGCTAAGCATTTGGTTGCTAACTACAAGACCAGTGGTTCAAACCCACCAGGTGCTCTGTGGGAGAAAGATGAGACTGTGTGCTCCCATAATGATTTCCAGTCCTAGAAACCCTAGGGAACAGTTTGACTCAGTTGTAGGCAATCACTATGAGTTGGCATAAACTTGGTGGCAGGGAATTTTTATTACAAAGAGCTTCTGCCTTGTTAAAAGGTCCCACAGCACTCCCATTTCAACAGTTCTTGGTGCTGCCCACTTGCTTTCCTCCCCAGATCTTTGTGCTAGGAAACGAGGTTGGGGGTGTGACACAGGAGAGAGGAAGAGGGCACTGTGTTCCCTATACAGGTGATTGTTTTAGAAAGGAGCTAGAAGCTCCTGCCTGCCCTCTGAAGGAGGCTAGCAGCATTGGAGAAAAAAACTGACTCCACTCTGCTCAGAGAACCTTTTTAGTTTTCTTGGCCCAGTTCAACCCCCTCTTGGAAAGAGCTAAGATATCAAGGGGGGGAAAGGCATTAAACAGGGAGTCTGACGTCACATCCTGGGAGTAAACAGCTTCTCTGGAAGGGCAGCTTGTGTGGGAGCTGAGTGCATGACAGACGTCCCGCGTCCCGCACACACTGAGAGCACAGCCGCAGTAGGGTGACAGGCATGCAGAGCAAGAATGACAGCTACATTGGAAGTAGAGGGGTGGTCTGGGGTCTGAAATATAAATCCAAGAGTTTTCTAATACCAACCATCAAGAAGGCAGATCAGCCTGTAAGCAAGGGTGCTGAGTACATCACCAGGGAAGGTCTGCCTCAGAATACATCTTGTTCCCCACGCCTACATGGAAGCAAGGTTAGAGAGGCAGTGAGGTAATGGGCTTTGACTTCAGGGCCTCTCCAAAAAACTCTTCCTCAAATGGTGAGTCATGAAGCATTTCCTGTCAGTTCAGAAGGAGTGTACGTCTCAGTCTTTGCTGTTGTCTGGATGCCCTGGCCTTGGCAGGAATCTTGCTTCTTTGTGCTACACCAGCTCTGGGAGTGCTTATGCAGAATCTCTGGGGAGCAGGAGTTTTAGTTAAGCTGCCTCCCCCTGAAGGCACAGAGTGCAGCTCTCTGAGGTGTCATCCAGTCACCTCTCAGTGGAGCCTGGGAGAGGCTGAACTTCTTCAGCTCTAGGGAAGTTTATCCTGCCTGAGCAGAGAGCCAGAAGGTTGGCATTGCAGGCTTGCAGCATCCGAAAACAACTGGGCTGAAGCCTAGAACCAGTGCCTGAGCCCCTGCCATACCTTCCCAAAGGTCAGGCTGAGGCACCACAGGATTTTCAAAGCTGTGACCATTTGGAAGCAGGTCACCAGATCTGTTCTTCTGAGTCACTCGTCGCTAAGAATTAAGTGCTTAACACTTTGTCCTTCACTGCCTGAAGTTAACCGCTGTCAACCACCTGGAATATGGACTTCCAGGGCACGTTAATGTAATACCTTAATTTTCCTTTAAAATGTCATACACACATGTATAAAAGTATATTGTTTTATCATTTTTGCTACCCTCATCTTTTTAAATTACTATTTTACAGTCTCTTCAAAAAGTTTTTGTGTTGTGTAAGGGTTCTTTAGAGGGGAAGATTTTATAATGTAGTCTTACTGCTGATAAAGAGAAGAAAATGACAAAGTATAAAATTGGTAATGAGCTACATAGACTGGAAAAGCATACGAAGAAGAACGATATTCATAAACAAACCAGAGATAAAGAAGAACAGCACGTTGTATACTATTCATGTGGAGTAATAAGGATGCATTGCATCTCCTTCCACCCCATGCCCTCCCCCATGATTGGCAGTGTCAGTTTCCAAATGGGTGTACTTTGGATCATAAAGTACTTTCTCACCTGCTTTTCTCTGTACCATTGAAGTCAAACATAGCTTCTTGGAATGGATTCCAATAGGAGATATCTTTTTTTTTTTTTTTTTTACTTTACCTGAGCCTAGGAAATAAAGCAAGCTTCCTAAACAGTGGTTTGGAGATTTCTTTGTTTCTTTTTCTTTTCTTTTTAAGTGTCTCAGACCACTATTTTGATTTTAGGGAATATTTGTTACTGATATATTTGTTTGAGATGACAATATTTTCAGGTAAAGTGGCTATTTAAATTCATGGGAGTTCAGCTGCATGAATAGACTCAGTATCCATAACAAGAACAGAAGTAGTAGCCTTTCTGAACAGAGATTTAGACACTTCGCACAGGGAGCTGTCCTTCATCTGTTTGCACGTTTGATTCTGTTGCCTGCCTGGAGCTCTTCAGTGGGGAGCATTGTGAGGCCACTGAGCTAACAGCTACAATAGGAAAACTCTTGAAGAATCTTTTTCTGCTAGAAGCGCAAGCTTCTTTTCATAATTAATTTTTTATTATTTGGGAATTAAACATTTATCATAGCATGCCATAGTTCAGTCACAGAAACACAAGCTTCTAATGGAAATTTTACTTATCCTAACATGATTGTTAAGGTTTCATTTTACTTAAACTGAGTTTTGGTCTTCTTTTACAGATGAGGATCCTCACAATCAACCAAAGAGAAAAAGAATTAGAAAACATAAATCCCAGAAAAACTTTAAGGATTCCAATAGCGTCCATGTAGAACAAGCAGAAGTAGAGAAACAGCAGAATCTTTCACAAGAAAAATTACCACCACAGCACACAGATGGCCCTACAATAAGCAAAAATAAAAAGAGGAAACTGAAAAAGAAGCAGCAAATTAAAAAGAAGAAAGCAGCTGGCTTACTAACAAAAGCCTCTGGCATCAATTTCCTGTACCAGCCCGAGGAGAGTAGCAGTGAACAAGAAGAGTTCAGATGCATGGAGGAGGACCACGGTGGAGACCCCACTGAGGAAGACCTCGTGGAAGAAGATATCAATGAGGAAGATGCTGAAAGTATCAATGAAAAGGCAGATGGTATCCTAAGTTTTTTGAAATCGACCCAAGAAATTTATTTTTATGATGGTATGTTTTTTCCTTCATTTTTACTTTGAATATTCTTATAGAAACTTTGAAAAATTGAAATGTTTCCTGAGTAAGCTAAAATATATACAAACACATTCAAAATAAATAATTAGAAACAGAAATCAGAACATTTGAACACTTCCTACCAAAGGTTAGGACTGGCAAAAAACTCAAGTTATAGCAAAAGAAATAAAATATAGCCAATCTCAGAAAAATTGTACTTTTAGATGTGTGTTGGCCTCATGATCAGTTTCTCTAAAATCAGATGTTGGAATATGCTGTTATTCCAGGTTATATTTCCATATGAACAATAAATACAGATATGGAACTTGAACTCATGTTCATTTTTATAAACTAAGTTAATAAAGCCCAATGATATCGTTTAATACATGTTTTATCTCACACAAGTGTAACATACTGATTTAGCAACTATTACTTGTATTGCTATAGTAAATGAAAGGTAAAAGGACTTTTATGCTTATGCATGATATTTTATTAGAATTGTGATGAGCTTTATTAAAGCCATCACTAAAGATTAGAACAAAGAAATTGCTAAGTAGAAGCCAGTATGGTTAAACAAAGAGCAAAGACACTCAAAATAAGCTTTATACTTTAATGACAATCACTGGAAAATTAAGATTTTGTATTCCCAGATTTGACTAAGTAATTTGGCCACCTTGTGAATGAGATGGAGAAATATGGGTTGTATAATAATTTGGTGGGTCTTTAAACAGTGCTATGAAAATATCATTGTGAATAGATCAGTTTTACTCAGAAGATAGTCACAGTGATTTTAACTCTTTCCTCTTCTACAACCTATCAGCTCTTGGTATTAGTACATTGAAAACAAACTTAACAAATATTCAAATGATGCACATAGGGAAGACAAAGCTAATCAGTTATCTTTCTGACGGTATCCATGTGTTGAGGACACAAGGATTAACCTAGACTCTCGAGTGCACTACCTATTGAGCCACACCCTGGAATCTAGGATAAACCCCAGATAGGTTATGCTTTGCCATACACGCAACCCAGCCTCTTGTCAGCTCAGAACTTGAATGGATCAAGCTGATTAGCTTCTACTAGATTTGCCTACACAAGTGAACCATCTCTAGAGGAAATTATTATTATCCAAGATTTATATAATTTTTCATACACAGTCACTAAAAATTTACCAGGTATGCCATGAGACAAGACCATATAGCCATACCCATGAGGGAAAAGAAGCAGTAGAAATACACCACCACACTTTGGGTGGTATATTTAAGATAGGCTAGATGAACAATCTGGAGGAGAAAACAACAGGACTGACAGTTCCGGGGGGACATGGGAGAGGGGGAGGTGGGGGGAAAGGAAGTGGTTTTAACAAACCCAGGGACAAGGGAACAAGT